ATAGAACCTCACGTCACACCGTCAGTGCAGAAGATAGTGTTGTCAGTGGGTATAGAACCTCACGTCACACAGTCAGTGGAGAAGATAGTGTTGTCAGTGGGTATAGAACCTCATATCACACAGTCAGTGGAGAAGATAGTGTTGTGAGTGGGTATAGAACCTCACGTCACACAGTCAGTGCAGAAGATAGTGTTGTGAGTGGGTATAGAACCTCACGTCACAGAGTCAGTGCAGAAGATAGTGTTGTTCGTGGGTATAGAACCTCACGTCACACAGTCAGTGCAGAAGATAGTGTTGTGAGTGGGTATAGAACCTCACGTCACACAGTCAGTGGAGAAGATAGTGTTGTCAGTGGGTATAGAACCTCACGTCACACAATCAGTGGAGAAGATAGTGTTGTGAGTGTGTATAGAACCTCACGTCACACAGTCAGTGCAGAAGATAGTGTTGTCAGTGGGTATGGAAGCTCACGTCACACAGTCAGTGGAGAAGATAGTGTTGTCAGTGGGTATAGAACCTCACGTCACACAATCAGTGGAGAAGATAGTGTTGTGAGTGGGTATAGAACCTCACGTCACACAATCAGTGGAGAGGATAGTGTTGTCATTAGGTAAAGAACCACATGTCACACAGTCAGTGGAGAGGATAGTGTTGTCATTAGGTATAGAACCACATGTCACACAGTGGAGAAGATCGTGTTGTCAGTTGGTATAGATAAAAAGAACTGTTACAGAAGTACAATCATTTGATCGTCTGTTCTTTAACTACTATCTAAGGGCAATCCCGAAGTTAGATTTCTTCTTGATACGTATAAATTCATACAACGATCTTACTGTTAGCAGTTTGGCTCCATATTTAAACAAAGTGGTAAACGTCTGAGACCTGCACCACCTCGGGGTTTTCCTTTACGTAAAGCTGACACGTCGTGATATAACTGGAATACTGTTCATAGCGGCGTTAAGCCCTACTCACTCACTCATTCCATGGTGTATAATGATCCAAACACAGGTAATAATGCATGATAAGTTCCATACATACCATGTCGATGACACAGGTGAAGTACCTGTTTGCTACTGCACCCAAACCATAATGGTGCCACTTTGGTAGCATAATTATTTTTTTTACATCGAAATATCTCGTTACTTCAATTATTTGTGTACTTTTTCGAACTTTCGATTTCCTAAACTTGGTATACTATGAAAATAATCGAAATGAAGAATAAGGAATCGAAATTTAAAAACAACAACTATACCACCAAAAGTGGCAACGTAAGGCTTTCGTACAACTGTGCAGACGAGTACGTGACACCGCGAGATTACTTCAGTTGAATACATTGTAATGCAAACTCCGGAGTTATTGGCAAATGGGTCCAAGCCATAGGCCTGTGCAAAGAAATTATATATGACTTGAACGTATCGTCTATTAACTACTCTCTCTAATAGCACACGTCGATCACGCGATCACTGAACACAAAAACGTGTTTGCATTACAATCAGATTGATGTAGACTTACAAAACCTCTACCGCTAGAGAACAGTGTATGTTTAATACTTGAATCCCTTTCATTTCTACCACGTTGTATCAAGATGGAGTTACATATGATAAGCCAATATGCGTACTCGTTATGTATAATTTTGGACTCGTTGCTATGGTTTCTTTGTTGTAAGCGTAGGTGTTTGGGCCGATACAGCTGTCGTTGTCAGGGAAAGGATAGGTGCGTCACTGATATATCTACACTTTTCACTGAGAGCGAGACGTGTCATGATTTGTTTGTTTATTTGTTTGTTGTTTAACGCCGCACTCAGCAGTATTACAGCTATATGACGCAATTCTGTTAATAATCGAGTCTGAACCAGACAATCCAGTGATTGACATCATGAGCATCGATCCACGCACTTTGGATACGAAGACAAGTATCAACCAAATCAGCAAGTCTGACCACCCGATCCCGCTAGTCCCTTTTACGGCATGCATAGGTTGCTGAAGACCTATTCTACCCCGGATCTTCACGGGTCGACATGTGTCATGAAAAAATGCTATTTGCATTTGAGGCGAAGGGGCATTAAACTCACCCTAAAATCAATGAACAGTCCTTCATATCATTGTTGAATTAAAGCATAAAGTTTAAATATATGATCCGTCGTTGAGAAACGTTATTATTCTTTCGCGGTGACCTATCCGGTGTTCAGATGGACGATAAAAACCTTTCCAAAAAAAGCAGATAATGGAGACATTATGAGAATCGGGACTTGATGATGCCACTTCAAGAACCCATATATTCAAGTGTCATGGTTGATATATTATTTCTCTATAATTTGCATAATGACCTATAGTTGCATCAGTTTCACGTGCACAAAATGCACGTTCAGAATGGCTAGTGAATTCCTGGATCAGTGTCAACTGCAATTACAACATCACGACACTATGTTTACTGGCTCGATCTAACGGCAGTCAATTTTTACGACTGGATGATTATATATGTCGTCAACACACAAGGAAATGTGGTACGTTTACCATTCCATTCTTTTGTTAAAATATTTTACAATATAAAACGTCAATGTAAGAGAATAACCAATTTCGATTATTTGCGGAAACAGATTCCATTTGGCGTAAAAGGCAAATAGCGTTGAAAATGATATGAATGGATCACCGAAAATCAGTGATGACACCAGGTGTTCGCGAAAAGGGTCAGCATGTCCTGTCCTATTGGTAGCACCCGCAATTCACACAATTTACCTAAAAAATAAGTGTTTGTTTGATGCCTGATAATCGCTATATGCTTGCAATATTGTTGATGGGAATTAAAATTTTAACTTACTTGACGCCGACCCGTGAAGATCCGGGTTAGAATAGGTCTTCAGCAACCCATGCTTGTGATAAGAGGCGACTAACTGGTTCGGGTGGCGAGGCTTGCTGACTTGGTTGATGCATATCATCGTATCCCAATCACGTGGATCGATGCTAATTATATCAATCATTGGATTGACTGGTCCAGACTCGATTATTTACAGACATATAGCTGGAATATTGACGATTGCGGCGTTAAATAACAAACAAACAAACAACTTGATGCCTGACTCCCGCAAAGCATTGCACCTACTCCAAGAAAAGGCACTCTATCAACAGACGAATTCAATATATAATATATTCAATTCTAAATTCTGACCCTCTCGTATAATATGGATGTAAGTAATACCCACGTTATATTTGTTAATTCCGTCTAATGTGACCAAACGCAGGCTCGCTGTCATCAATCCCAATCCCAATCGATGCTTTTGATGTCAATCACTGGATTGTCTGGTCCAAACTCGATTATTTACAGACCGCCGTCATATTGCTGAGTGCGGCGTAAAACAACCCAACACACAAACAAACAACAAACAAAGCTTTCAGCCAAGTCGCCGAGCCTGACCCCTCGATCCTCGGGGGTAGTTCATACCCGAGCGCGTGAATTTACGTAAGTGATAAACGTTGAGGACATGCGTCCTTGGGGCTTTCGTCCAACATAAGCTGACACACCATAGTGTAATTATATCACATATTCCACTCTGCTGCACGTGGTAACTGACATCAAATAGCCTCACATTGCTGCCAACGTGTCGCCTACACGTGCTATATAACTCCGAACAATGATGTTTGCCAATTCCATCGTTTGTATAACACGGTAAAATGTACCCGAAAGGTTCTTACCAAAATCCTGTGATGATTAACGTCTCTGGTACATCTACACTAAAAACATTAATTATTTAAACATCTTCTATTCAAATTATTATTTGACTATAGGAACTGTTTTGTTGTCATAGTGCTTCTAGAATGCGAATGGTTCATGTTGAAAACAATATGTAATTATGTGTCCCTAAAACAATTGATGTCCAATACATCGCCAGTAAACGTTCTCTAATGGCGAATAACAATAGTCATTATCGCCAGTTTTGGCTCCTATTTTGTCCATTGTTCTCTACAGCTCAAGGCAAATAATAGGCGCACGTGGCAATTCATTGACGAAACTCATTGTCCCCTTCAGCTTTTATTTAATACCCGCGTATAAAAAAAACAACGACATAAGGCATTGCAGCACTCCTGGTGTGTGGCTAGACGACAGCATCTCTCCCTGTACATTGGCAGAACGGACTTCGTGTTCATCAGAAACAGGATCTCTCCTTGTACATTGCCAGTACAGACTTCGTGTTCATCAGAAACAGGATCTCCCCCTGTCCATTGCCAGTACAGACTTCGTATTCAACAGAATCAGATCTCTCCCTGTAATTGCCAGTAGGACTTCGTGTTCATCTAAAACAGGATCTCTCCCTGTACATTGCCAGTACGGATTTCGTGTTCATCTTAAACAGGATCTCTCCCTGTACATTGCCAGTACAGACTTCGTGTTCATCTGAAATAGGATCTCTCCCTGTGTATTGGCAGTACGGACATCGTGTTCATCTGAAAACGGATCTCTCCCTGTACATTGCCAGTACAGACTTCGTGTTCATCAGAAACGGGATCTCTCTGTGTACATTGCCAGTACGGACTTCGTGTTAATCTTAAACAGGATCTCTCCCTGTACATTGCCAGTACGGACTTCGTGTTCATCTAAAACAGGATCTCTCCCTGTACATTGACAGTACAGACTTCGCGTTCATCAGATTCGGAATCTCTCTCTGTACATTGCCAGTACGGACTTCGTGTTCATCTGAAACAGGATCTCTCTCTGTACATTGCCAGTACAGACTTCGTGTTCATCTAAAACAGGATCTCTCCCTGTACATTGCCAGTACAGACTTCGTGTTCATCAGAAACGGGATCTCTCCCTGTAAATTGCCAGTACGGACTTCGTGTTAATCTTAAACAGGATCTCTCCCTGTACATTGCCAGTACGGACTTCGTGTTCATCTAAAACAGGATCTCTCCCTGTACTTTGACAGTACAGATTTCGTGTTCATCAGATACGGAATCTCTCTCTGTACATTGCCAGTACCTTTGCTTATTTTATAGACGTAAGACATGGGCAATCTTAAACATACGGCTTGGATTGTATGTTGTATTAGTTTGTTGAGCTGTTGCCATGGTGAAGTGGACCCTGAAAGACGGCGACAGCAGCAACTGAAACAGGATCTCCTGTACAACTACTCCACCACGGTGTCGCCTTATGGGGCGGACAACCGCGTCAATGTAACATTGTCCTTCGCCCCCATAGCTGTTGTAGCTGTGGAAGAAGCCAGTCAGATATTTCGTCTAAGTGGCTCTCTGACTCTGTCTTGGGAGGATCCTTGGCTGATGTGGAACAGCACCAACGGTGTCAAAAGCCTTGCCTTTAAGCCTGAAGAGATATGGACTCCAAACTTTATAATTCCAAACGCTGTGGGTAACACGATTTCCTCCTTAACCGCAAGTATGCCTATCACTGTGTATTCTACTGGAACGACATTAATGTTTATAATTGATGAATTTGAGACAATTTGCAATTTAGATGTGACAAGGTATCCATATGATGAACAGGAGTGTCACATGTCATTTCTCGGCTTATTAGACTCAAAACTTTATTTGCGTAGTAAAGGCTTTAGTGATATTTTCTCTGCATATTTCACTGGCAGCAGTGAGTGGGAGTTGGTCAACACTACATTCCACGAGAAGCACTTTCACGCATTCATCGACACCATACCTTATATTGATGTCAAGTTCCGACTACGGCGTCACAGCATCTTCTACACCCTAAGCGTCATCTTTCCAATGTGTCTTCTCTCCTTCCTCAACGCCTGTGTATTCCTGCTGCCCGCGGCCTCAGGGGAGAAGGTCTCCTTCCTCGTCTCCATCTTCGTGTCCGGAGCGGTATTCCTCAACTACATCAATGACGCTATCCCAAAGTCCGGCAATGCCTCTCGTCTCACCATCTATCTGGTTCTGCTTCTGTCACAGAGCGCTCTGGCTCTGCTCGCCACTCTCCTGGTCATAAACACTCACCACCGACAGGGGGCGCTGCTTTGTCTCTTGCGTAAGAAGGTCAAGGTTACAGATTTGGACAATAAACCCCGGGCTTGGAATGAACCCAGTGGTATCCAGAAAGATGAATCTGCTGACAGACTAGACACGATTCTGTTTGTCATGTTTGTGGCCATGGCAGCAGCCTCTATACTCGTATTTTATGTTTAGCTAAGAGGAACCGGATTACACCAAATTGAACTATTTGCAAAACAATTAGTTTTCTTCTTGTTCTCACGATTCACTGTTGTGCTTATTTATTTAGTTGTGCCATATTCACGTTTAAGGATGCGATTGGTTACATGCATTTTCTGTGTCTACTAAAGGAGTGTCACCAAAGATGGCGTGTTATTGGTTTCATTGTGTCGAATCTCTCTTATCAAGTGGCTCACATAATATATTTATACAATCAATTGACGGTAAAAGACAAATGATCTAAACAGCTCAACAGATTATGCATTTTCAGGTAGCCAACAGGCTGAAATTATGTCTCATATAGGCGAAACCGCAATATCAGTGGTTCATATTGGGAAAGGGAGGTCACTCTAATTTCAAACGGGAGCTATCTCCGTTGTTTTCGTATTTGCGAGAAATGGCGTCAGTCATGCTGTACGTTGTTGGTCCAGCTATTAAATGCCCAGCTTATCCCTAAGGTAAAACGTATTCTTAATTAAATGTTTGAATGCATTATATATGTATGTTTCCATTCATACATCTTCTTAGATTGGTTTAGTGCTGATAACCATTTTCTAAAATGTGGGCCCACATTTTTCCCGTCATATATGGTGATCGAAACAAGTGGGCCCACATTTGTATTTCGCCTAGCTTCATTAGGTTGTTTAATTAGCTCTGATAATCAATTCCTAAATGTGGGTAGACGTTCTTCCGTCATATTGATTGCAACAGGAGGGACCACATTTATTAATCGCGAAATTCTACTTAAATATTGATAATCATTTTCTCAAATGTGGGCCCACATTGTTCCCTTCATATTTGGTGATCGAAACAATTAAGTGGGCCCACATTTGTATATCGCCTAGTAGGTAGACGTCCTTCCGTCATAGTGATTGCAACATGTGGGACCACATTTATAAATCGCTAAGCTTCATTAGCCTGCCTTACTTATAACCATTTTCTAAAATGTGGGCCCACATTGTTCCCGTCTTATAGTGGTCGAAACAGGTGGGCCCACATTTGTAAATCGCTGCGCTTCATTGGGTTGATTAGGTCATTTAGGCTAGTGGGCTCACATTTGTCAGTACTTTGCCTTAGTATATGACATAATGATTATATATTATTCTCATTTGATATATTGATGGGAAATATCTTTATAAATGCACACAAAGTCTTTGAAGATTGAATAACGTCATCATAGCTAACCACACCAGTTTTGCAAAAATAGTTACAAAGCAAGAAACTTAGATCTACTTTAAATTAAATTTACAGAGGCAATGCCACTCATTCTACTTTTTCCAGTATAACACATCAATCAAATCATAGCGATATAAGCTTGGAAATATGTCTACACGTATGTTGATCTCGGACATGATAGTCATGATACAAGCCTCAAACTTTTCCGAGAACTTGTTCCACAAATGGAATAACTCATGAATATTAATGACCCCACGATATAGTTTGGCAATGTTCGTAGAAGTGAGTTCTGCGGTATTGTCATCGCATTTGTACATTCTAATATAATTATAAGTCATAATACTTATTGTAAGTAGACAAAATAGCAGTTCGTTATGCGTGTTTGTTTACGTTGTACATATTCTCAACAACAAGTGCGTTTAGTTTCGAATGTGGGCCCACCTCGAACTTTCGATTAGGCAAACGGAGTTAGCTCCCTTCTCGAACTACCGATAATGCGGTTTCGCCCTTATATACAATATCAGTATTGATTCGAGCACATGTTCTGTTTGACCATTTGTTAGAAAAAACGTTCACGGTCATACGCTGTTAGTACCAACAACAAAGTGTGTTTAAGAGACGTCATCCAACAGCATAATGATTGATCTTAGACACAGATGGACTTCTGTCCTTTGGTTTAGAACAGCAGCAATATTGATGATGTACGTTAAGCAATAGTTAGTGCCTCACTCTGAACTGTGGGTGTATTACATTGTTAAAAGCTTGTTATGTTCCTTCCTCCTTGATTGGGCCAGGAATAGGACCGGCTCCGACAGCAACGCTCAAGTCACGTGTCCCGTTAAAGCTTGCAGAAATACGCAAATCATGTGGTCTGTTCAGCTCAGCCCCTACAATGCCAAAAAATATTGGTCTGTGAAGCTTTTTTGCCATCAAATACATACTGTTATATGGCAGTGTTATTTATTGTGATTTATTGTACAATGATTGTAACTGTATAACATTGTTTCTGTTGAGATTCATTGCACTGTATTTGAATAATGATTAGGTGTTAGGAATGTAGTCCTATTTAATATAAACAGTGTTAAGGAAATTACTATATTTAGATGCTCGAATTATCACAATCTCAATAAAATCAGGTCTTAGTTCTCGCTACCGCTAAACAAAGATCTGAGGACATCCCAGTAGAGGTCACGTCAGAACGACCTTTCAGCCGACCAATCAGAGAGTCGCTTACCAAATCATGGAAGTGACAGTCGGAATGTGATTTCTAATCAAGCAATCTCGAAAACTTTAACATGGTGTATTCCGAACGATAGTTTACCTGCTTAACGACCGAATCAATACAATCTAGATAATCCATTAGCCATTCAAGAATGTTCTTTTGTTCAGGTTTCAAATTTTTAATCGAGAATTTGTCAAAATATGTTTCGAAGCGAAGTTGCCAATTTGAAATTAGTGCCGTAAAGCACGAGAAACCTACCTTCTAATTGGCTAATGACGACTTCTTGTCAGTCTTTTCATTGGTCGTTCTGACGTAACCCGTAATGGGATGTCCTCAGATCTTTGCTTAGCGGTAGCGAGAACTAAGATCTGATTTTAATGGGATTGAAATTATCACTAATCTTCTGAAATAGCATGGATGGATGTTAAGGGTTAAAGAAACACGTGGGATATTCTGTGATGTTCAAGTACGGTGGCCAATAAGGGACATGGATTCTGTTTTTCAACATTTGGATATTTCACTTACTGTTATCGTAATCTTTTGCAAATTAACACAATTTTACTACCATTAATATTGTACTACGAGGGGCGTTCAATAAGCTTTGCAACTTCAATATAAGTCCAAGTCGCAGAATATAGTCACTAACTGTACAGCTCAGACTTAGCCCCCAGTGACTATTTCCTATAAAAGTTGTATTATAAGCTTAAAGGACAAATGGAATAATTGTATTGAGGTGAATGGAGATTATATTGAAAAATAAAAGTGCAAAAGATATTCTGCGACTTGGACTTATATTGAAGTTGCAAAACGTATTGAACGCGCCTCGCACCACTCTATTGTGTCCTGCAATTGTAGCTGCTGTGTTGATTTGTAAACCTAGTTTATTTTATAATAAAATTGTTGACTGTATACCAGTTGTTGGTTTTTCGTTGGTTTCACACTAAATGTTTTTACGCACAGATTTCTGGGTTAACATGTTGTTTTAATTTGAGAATCGACTCGTAACAATACACACACGACACTTGGTCTGTGAAGATCACCTTATCATCTAGTCTGGACCCATAATAAGTGAAGCTGTTGTTACCCCTCCGTACACTATACGGTGAAGCAGGATCACTCGGAGTATGTGGGGTTCAATGCGTCCCGCGTTAGGTTTTAAACCACAAGCAGGTCTAACCAACATGTGACATTGTAAAAGAATAAACACAAATTTAAAATTGATAGAAAACAGGTGTTCGATTGAGCTGCGGTAAGCTTGTGCTATGTCACGTGACTTCCATAGACTCGGAAAAAGCGTGCGAACCTTTGTTTGGAAGTGGGGAAAGGGGGATTAAATCTGCCTCTAAGAAATCCACGTGCAGATTGTAATGTGGGGTTAAATATATTTATTTCCCTGATGAGAAATGTATTTGCCTCCAGCGGGTTACACATTATTTTATAAAGACGACGTAGACCATTTAGATCTCATCATTCTGACATGGTGTGAGTGAGTGAGTATGGTTTTACGCCGCTTTTAGCGATATTCCAGCAATATCACGGCGGGATACACCAGAAATGGGCTTCACACATTGTACCCATGTCGGGAATCGAACCCGCGTCTTCGGCGTGACGAGCGAACGCTTTAACCACTGGGCCACCCGACCGTCCCTGTGAAAAGTGAGTGAACAGACTCACAGACCGGGTGACAACTGGGATCATACCTCCATGTCAGAAGGGGCGGTCGGGTAGCCCAGTGGTTAAAGCGTTTAATCGTCACGCCGAAGACGGCGTAAAACCATACTCACTCACACACTCACATTTCACATGGCATGTGTGGCTGACGTTACCATTAGACATACGTCATAGTGTAATTATATCACATATTCTGCTGCACGTGTAACTGACGTCAACGACACTCACGTTCCTGCCACGTGTTGCCTGCTCAGAACAATGCTGCCTGCTTAATCCATTGTTTGTAGAAAAGGCACTGTAATGGTTCTCCTGTGATTCATGACTCCAATACTTTTTGATAAAAATAATAATTGAAACATTTTATTCAAACCTCATCTATTCAAACTGGATTAACTGTCACAAAGCACCTGTAATGCAGACACTTCACGTTGACTGAACCCTGAGAATTAATTTCCCGAAAAGTAAATTGATCCGAAATCGTCAGCAAACATCCTCTAATGGTGGATACACGTTCAGAATAGCCAATGAATTCCTGGATCAGTGTCAACTGCAATTACAACATCACGACACTATGTTTACTGGCTCGATCTAACGGCAGTCAATTTATACGACTGGATGATTATGTATGTCGTCAACACACAAGGAAATGGGGTACGTTTACCATTCCATTCTTTTGTTAAAATATTTTACAATATAAAACGTCAATGTAAGAGAATAACCTATTTCGATTATTTGCGGAAACAGATTCCATTTGGCGTAAAAGGCAAATAGCGTTGAAAATGATATGAATGGATCACCGAAAATCAGTGATGACAACAGGTGTTCGCGAAAAGGGTCAGCATGTCCTGTCCTATTGGTAGCACCCGCAATTCACCCAATTTACCTAAAAAATAAGTGTTTGTTTGAT